TATACCATGAACAGAAGAGAGGCAGTGGCCCACCCTCATCGGCTTGGTGGATTTTCCGCCTTTTTCGATACATCTATTCCTTGTGCGATCTATCCTGCCGTAAAGACATGGTGGATTCTTTGCCTCCTCTCAGGGGAGGTTGCAGGGTGCACAGCTCCCTGCAGCGGGAAGTCATGTGAATAACCATGGTTATTTTCACTGTGGGTTATATTATTTGGGTAATTTTCTATATTACATCCGTTGCTCTGACATCATTGTCTCTGCTATCGGGGGCAAGTTTGCCGCTAACAGGGGATTTCTGCAAAATAAAACCTACATATTTGCGTTGTATAGAGTGAGAGGAATCCAACGATACCAAAATTGTCGATATCAGAGCGGCGGAGGTAATATGGAAAATTACCTTGACTATTGATCTACTATGAACCCAAACTTAAAGTGGGTCCTTATTGCTTGATGAGCTTGGCTTTACACCAGGAAATGGATAACTTTTTCGGATAATATGCAGAATGAGGTGGGGTCTGAGTTGGGAGATAAAACCTATATATTTTGATAGACTGATACAAACCAAGACACTTTTCTTCTATGTCAAAATTTGTGCAAATGCTTCCCAAAGGTGCTATACTTAAATAAACATTGGGGAGGGGGCTTATGTACAAGCAAAATGCAAGGAGAAAACAAAATGTAGGTAGCTTAGCTATGCTAGAGGTGCAGATTAGGGTATTCCTGGAGAATTGACAGGGGATGGGATGCTGGCTTTAAGGGGACATGGAGGGAAGACAGGGGAGAAGCCCAAGGATGCAAGGGAAAGACCCTCTGGTGTCTCTGGACACCAGAGAACTGGAGAATGGGTGCCAAATAGTTCCTGATATGATACTTTCCCCCACTATGTCCCATTCTTACTAAGATAGAAGAGGGGAAATAGCCTGCTACTTTTGAAGAGGATACTCCTGTGTATATTTGAAACTTGTCTTTGCTGTCCATTTTGCACTGATACAAATATATAACATATGCTCCCACCCAAAACTGAAAAGTAATTGTCCATTTCATAAACTTAATGTGTAAAAGACGATTTTTTTTATAGATATCTGTATTAGGATAGATTCTTTAGTTTGATTTTTTTCCAGTGACATTCTATGTTTTAGAAATAGTTCACAAACATTACATTCCAGTGACATATTTTTGATTAGATTTTTAAAGCTAACACATCTAATTTTCAGGTAACCGCCATGGGCTTCTTGTACCAAACAGCACAACTGACCAGGAATTGCAACACATTCGTGATCACCTTCCAGATAAAGTCAAGGTCCAGCGTGTAGAAGAGAGATTATCTGCACTGGGAAATGTGGTTGTCTGCAATGATTATGTTGCTCTTGTTCATCCTGACATAGATAGGGTGAGTTTCAAGAGAGAATTTTGGTACGGGTATTGTGTTTAATTTTGCCAGTCCTTCATTTTCATTATCATTGTTGTTTTTGTTATCATCTTCATCTTTATTTTCATCTCCACTGTCACCTTCATCTTTATGGGGCTGGCCTGGAATCTACCCGTGTGCCAGCCAAGGCCTGCGATGGAATCGGAGCACAAGCTCCAATCCAGTGTCACACTGGCGGGACACCCACAATGTTTATTTTTCTGGGTGTCTCATATCTGGGACACCCGTTGTAAAAGGATTAATTCTTCATTCTCATTGTTATTGTCATCATCTTTGTCCTTGTCTATATCTTCATCTTCAGAATCATTTTCATATTCATATTCTTCATATTTATAAAAACTAACCTGTTGAATCTGGGTGGACCTAATCCAGACCATAAGTCTACTTGAGTGGCCTAGCCCACAGGATCACACGTGTGCTGTATCAAGATTCGTTTCCTCCTCTTTGCAATGTTACTATGTCATTTTCTCTATAATTTTTTTTTTTATTTTGTAATTTTCAGACCCCATATCTGTTTTGGTAGTCTACAACTCTGAGCAGTAACAGTAACTATAAAAACATAATTCTGTTTATGTAAAATTTTCATATTTGTGCAATATTCAATTTTCTGAAATGCAACCTGTGCCACCACTCATGGCAGGCAGGAACAGAATCCTGAGCTTAGAAATAATGTCCTCCCTGGAGCTAGTGCTCTTCTAGCCATGGCTCACGGATGGAACATTCCAACCTAGTTTGATGGTGGAAATCTTGCTAGAAAACCCCGTTCTAAATGCCAACTGAGTTTAATCATCCTCCAAAATCTGTACATGCATGCTGAATCATTCCTTTCACCATACCCCCAGCCAATTTCTCATGATGGCACATTCTAGTTGCTGCAGCTCATAGCCATATTTTTACGTGACTGCATGCTCCCATCATCTGGCCCATGGTCACTTTATTTTTGTCATGACATGGTCATCATATACCCCAGATCCAATGGGTTAAAATGGTCCAAGTGTTTGCTGCTAGTGTTATGTTGACCAAGTTGACCAGTTAAAATCATATGAGATTATAGGCCTTCATGATGCAATATTATCAAATTAGAACCTACCTAAATTGTACCATGCCAAGTGAACACGCTCCATTATCAGGTTTCCTTGAATCTGTTAGCTGTCCATGACAGATCACAGTATTTAAAGCAGATATGTATGTATAGAATGTAGCCAGTATTATTACAGGGAAAAAATCCTTTTTAAGAAGTACTGTGTTGTCCAAGAAATATTTCCTGCTTTTCTAATTACTCTCTTCTCTTTTGCCTTTATCTTAATTGTCTTTGGCCATCTCCACTTACATTGTTTTTTTTTAGCTATGTGTGTCAAGTAACTTATATTTTACGCAGATGAACTAATTTGCCTTAAGATTATGTACTGCATTTTTTTGTGAATTGTGTTGCATCAGATAAGCATATGCTTAGCCACCCAGGAGACACTAGGCCTAGTGACCATGTCTGATTTCCCCCATTCTGTGAAATTTCAGGAAAATGTTTTTTTCTTTTAAATACTATTAATCCCTATGTTCTGGATGACCATCATGTCATGAAAAAAGTTGGCTTGAATGTCGGGTGACTTTAAAATCCCCTCGTATGAAAATTTGACTGTGGGCTGGGATGATGAGAACTTGCTGTTGTGAGCATTTAGGTTGAAGGCTGATGTAAGGAGGATGACTCGCTACAAGTGCACAAAGCTCTTGGAGGGGAATTACACGTATTTGGTATTTAGGAAGGGGATTTTGCATTATTTCCATCAAAAAACGTGTATTGAATGTCCATGAAGAGTGCTGGCTCCAGAGAGGATGCTATTACCAAAGAAAATTTTTGTTTTTATTCTTGCACTGAGTTATGGACTACCAACACTTTAGTACCATCTGGAAAATGACAAAAATGGCTAAAACTCTTATGCAGAAAGAGAAAAATAACATTGCAAAGGGAAGGCATAGATTCTGTATATTCACAAACTCCCAAACATTCAGAAAAAAAGCATATCTTTATATTATTATCTTCAATCCAAGTCCTGTCGCGAGTACTGAAGCTAACAAGGCTCTTCCATGCCTGAGTGATTGTCTGGTGCATACAATGTTGTTCTGGCTTTCAGAACTTGAACTCCTGCTGTGAAGAGGCACATGCTCCATTTTTAGTGTTTTTTAGAATATGGATCTGTATATCTGCCCTTGTTGGTTTTGAGTGTATAATATTTCAGCAAAGGTATTTTTATGTATTTATGTATTTATTTATTTTGTTATTAGTATTTTATTGTTATCATTGTCTTACAACTTTCTACTTCACAGGAAACTGAGGAGACAATTCATGATGTACTCAAAGTAGAGGTGTTCCGTCACACAATTGCCAACAATGTCCTTGTGGGCACATATTCAGTAATTTCCAACCAAGGAGGAATTGTCCATCCAGCTACACCTACCCAGGAGCTAGATGAATTGTCTATGCTGCTGCAGGTTCCCCTTGTGGTTAGTATGAAATCCTTTAAGTCTGCTAGGATTTGTTAAAAGATTATTATTGTTTTATTCATCTTTTTTTATGATTATTTACTAATACCATATTGTTTTTTATTTTCATAATTAGACTTATATGTATGCATGTATGTAAGAATGTAGGAATGTTGGTATATACATAATTTTTTTTATCAACTCTACATATTATTAACATTATTTTAAGGGCACTATCTCCCCAAAATGCCAAAAATAGGATATTTGGGTATTATGAGGTACATGAACTTTTGGCCTCCAGCATATCCTCAAGACTTGTCAAATTCCCCCTTGACCTTTGGAAGATCACTTGATAACGTCAGGTCTGTCCCCTCAAATGATGAATTTGAGGGGAATGATGAAGTAGTCTTCAAGTGAAATGCTTGTAACAGTAGTAAATGTACATAAAAGAAAATTTAAGTGAATTCATGAGACCAAAATGTTCAAATGTAAATGCCTAAAACTGTAAGAATATCCTGAACCTTTTAATCCATTGTTTATTTATATATGTATATATAGATCTTATTTTTTTAAGTGCATATAAAAGTGGCTTGTGGTTTCCTCAGATTGACTTCCACTTGCTTTTTGTATATTTTGTTGTTTTTTAGTATTGATAAAGTTCCACTGGAGTTGCTAACCCACCCATCCTCAGATAGTGATTTTCATGTATTCAAAAAAAAAAAAAAAAAAAAAAAAAAAAAAAAAAAAAAAAAAAAAAAAAAAAAAAAATCTGGTTATATTTTCTGTGCTGCATTGAGGATAAGTTTGAATGTTCAAAAGGAGTTCCAAAGATTTATATCTTTTAGGAGTTATGAGAAAATAATTGAACAGTTTGCTTAATCTTTCTGACTTTTGCATAGGTTAGTTCATTTTCTGAAAGAAAAAATTATAGCATTTTGTTACAGCTCAGTTGCCAGTTGAACCTCCCTGCACTAATAGTATAACCCACATATAACGTTAATCTTATTTTTGTCAAGAGTTGTATCTAGTCTTGTCTGTGCCACTTTTTCAATTGGGAGGCAATTTGGGAAAGACATCACAAAACAAGTTCACTAAAACATAAGTGCCATGGACAAGCACAAGCAATTTTCTCTCTCTCCCTCTCTCTCCCCCCTCTCCTCTCTCTCTCTTCCCTCTCCCTCTCTCTCTCTTCCCCCTCTCCCTCTCTCTCTCTCTTCCCCTCTCCCTCTCTCTCTCCTTCCCCCTCTCCCTCTCTCTCCTCTTCCCCCTCTCCCTCTCTCTCTCTCCCCCCTCTCCCTCTCTCTCTCTCCCCCCTCTCCCTCTCTCTCTCTTCCCCTCTCCCTCTCTCTCTTTCTTCCCCTCTCCCTCTCTCCTCTCTCTTCCCCTCTCCCTCTCTCTCTCTCTTCCCCCTCTCCCCTTCTCTCTCTTCCCCCTCTCCTCTCTCTCTCTTCCCCTCTCCTTCTTCTCTCTCTTCCTCTCTCCCTCTCTTCCCCTCTCCTCTCTCTCTCTTCCCCCTCTCCCTCTCTCTCTCTCCCCCTCTCCTCTCTCTCTCTCTCTCTCTCTTCCCCTCTCCCTCTCTCTCTCTTCCCCTCTCCCTCTCTCTCTCTTCCCCTCTCCTCTCTCTCTCTTCCCCTCTCCTCTCTCTCTCTTCCCCTCTCCCTCTCTCTCTCTTCCCCTCTCCCTCTCTCTCTCTTCCCCCTCTCCTCTCTCTCTCTTCCCCCTCCTCTCTCTCTTTTCCCCCTCTCCTCTCTCTCTCTTCCCCCTCTCCTCTCTCTCTCTTCCCCCTCTCCTCTCTTTCTCTTCCCCTCTCCCTCTCTTTCTCTTCCCCCTCTCCCTCTCTCTCTTCCCCTCTCCCTTTCTCTCTCTTCCCCTCCCCTTTCTCTCTCTTCCCCTCTCCCTTTCTCTCTCTTCCCTCTCCCTCTCTCTCTCTCTTCCCCCTCTCCTCTCTCTCTCTTCCCCTCTCCCTCTCTCTCTCTTCCCTCTCCTCTCTCTCTCTTCCCCTCTCCCTCTCTCTCTCTTCCCCTCTCTCCCTCTCTCTCTCCCCCTCTCCCTCTCTCCTCTCTCCCTCTCCCTCTCTCTCTCTTCCCCTCTCCTCTCTCTCTCTTCCCCCTCTCCCTCTCTCTCTCTTCCCCTCTCCCTCTCTCTCTCTTCCCCCTCTCCTCTCTCTCTCTTCCCCTCTCCCTCTCTCTCTCTTCCCCTCTCCCTCTCTCTCTCTCTCTCTTCCCCCCTCCCTCTCTCTCTCTTCCCCCTCTCCTCTCTCTCTCTCTCTTCCCCCTCTCCTCTCTCTCTCTCTTCCCCCTCTCCCTCTCTCTCTCTTCCCCCTCTCCCTCTCTCTCTCTTCCCCCCTCTCCCTCTCTCTCTCTTCCCCTCTCCCTCTCTCTCTCTTCCCCCTCTCCTCTCTTCTCTCTCTTCCCCTCTCCCTCTCTCTCTCTTCCCCGTCTCCCTCTCTCTCTCTTCCCGTCTCCCTCTCTCTCTCTTCCCCTCTCCTCTCTCTCTCTTCCCCCTCTCCCTCTCTCTCTCTTCCCCCTCTCCCTCTCTCTCTCTTCCCCTCTCCCTCTCTCTCTCTCTCTCTCTCTCCCTCTCCCTCCCCCCCCTTCTCTCTCTCTCCCTCCCCCCCCCTCTCTCTCTCTCTCTCTCTCTCTCTCTCTCTCTCTCTCTCTCTTCTCTCTCTCTCTCTCTCCTCTCTCTCTCT